GGGGCGCGCTGCTGGCCTGCGCTGCGTGGACCGCGGGCTGGGTGCTGGCGGCCGCGCTGCTGCTCCGCGCGCACCCGGGCGTCCTCTCCGAGCGCTGCACCGACGAGAAGAGCCGGCGCATCCTGGCCGCGCTGGTAGGTCCCGCCACCGCACCGAGCCCGCGCCGCGCTCCCCGGGGGCACGGGGCGGGACACCCTCCGGGGGGCCACGGGAGCCGGGCGCGGCCGCGGCACCCACGGTGTGTGTGGGGGGGGGGGTGGAGGGAGTGCCCGATGCATGTGGACAACCCGGTCTCTCCGTTCCGGAGTCCTCTGCGGGCGCGCGGAGGTGTCTCTCCCTTGTCGCCAAAATTGGTCCTTTGTCCCGAGAGTCTTCCTGCCCAGCTGCTGCCCTGCCGCCCCCGAGCCCGCGCTCGGAAAGTTTGCGGGTCGGCTCTGAGTCTCCGGCCGCGCCTCGCCGCCCGCGTCCGCTGTGGTGCGGCCGGGCTCGGGGCGCTGGCGAGGGCGCGGGCCGGCGGCGGGGCTTGGCGGCGGGGACCACGCCTCTGCCTCTCGGGTCTGCTTGCCTCGCCCAGCGGCTGTTCTGGGATTCCAACCTGGGGGTCCCTCCCGAGCCCAGTGCAGGCGGCTGGTAGGGCCCCTGTCTCCCGGCGCCCCAAAGCCGCGGCTCTCCCCTGCGCGGCTTGTGGGACCCCCGGCGGAGCGCGCTCAGGCCAGGGGACCCCGGCAGACCGGGGTCCCGGGGGTCGAGACCGCAGTCTCCTCCAAGAGGGGTGGGCCTGAGGGGTCCTAGGCGGGCCGGGCGGTCAGAGACACAGCGTCGGCTTGCAGGCTGCCTGGCGCACTGGGTCCCAGATGCTCTTTTCGCTGAGTCCAAACGTTGGGTGCTGCTCAGTCTCGGTTTGGTGGGGAAGATGATGCGCATTGGGCGACTTGAGGAAAGGTAGGAATCCCCGCAAGGAAAGCCAAAAAGGCCAAGACACTGGCAACTACTTTTCCGTTGGTTTTTTAAGCGGTTGTCCGCTTCCTAAAACAGTGACCATAGAAGCATTTGCTGTGAAAAATTATTTTCTAAGAAATCCCGAAGGGGAAGAAAAAAAAAGAAACCGCATGGGAAGTTTACAGACCGATTGCTGACATATGAGTGGGTGTTTTGAGAGTGTAGGTTTTCAAAACTTCAGAGCCTAAAGGTTTAAAAAATTCTTAAGTGAGATTGGAAAAATTAAAGTGAGTGAAACATACAAATGAACAGAAATCGTATTCCCTAATGGAGTCTGACGTGTCATCATGAACTCATAATAATGCAAGTAAGACCCTCACCACGGGTTCCCTGCATCCTGTGTATCAATCATCCATCCATTACCAGGCATGTATGGACCCTGACACTGAAGTTCTATCAAGTTTTCTGTAACTTGGTAACAACTCATTGAGTTTCTCAGTGACCTATATAAAAACTCCTTTCACTTATAAAGGCTTCTCACCAACCCCCCCCCCCGGCCCCGCCGCTGTTTTTAGGGTGACTGACTACTTTTTTTTAATGAACAAAAATAGTGTAGCCACGATGGAATAGCTATTCACAAAAATAATACAGTAATCTTTTACGTTAAAATAAAAATGCTATTTTCAGGTAGTTGTCTTTGGTTAAGTGGGAAAGGGACTAATGGAAATTATATGGCCTAATATAATTGAGCTAATCATAACTTTCCCAGCATTCCCGCCCGTAAATTAAAACCGATTCTGGCTAGAGGCTCTACCGCTCTGTCTCCAATGGCAGCCATCTGGGCTCACTTTTAGTCAACACGAAGCTGGGGAGATAGATCCTGCTCCCGAAGCCTCTCAATCCTGCCTGTTGCCGAAGGAATGAATCGAAATGCCGCCTCTGTCTGTCTCCCTGAAGTTCGTCTGACCTTGTCTCAATGAACTGAGTTTTTGGGGAGCGTCCCCTGGCCGCCCTGCTCAAAGCCACTATTTCTTACACGCGCTCCGGGCTTGGCCTTCTCTGCCTCTCTCCCTGCCTCCTCGCCTTCTACCCTCTCCGTTCTGGGTGTGCTCATGTCAGCCCCCCTTGGCACGCTGGTTCCCAGCTCCCCAGGACACTCTGAACGAGAGCAGGGTTGGAACAGCACGGCGGGGCCCGCACCGCAGACTCGGCTGGGCCCTGGCTGCCGGGCAGAGGCCGGCACTGTGGCCTCCCAGGACTCCAGCTGAATCGGCCCTCTGTCTCCCGGCTCCCAGGCACTTTCAATGCATCCTGCCTGGCTTTTGTCCTTCATAAGAAAACTGGCTGTTATTTTTCTGACTGATCTCCAGGCCCTCATTAGCTTTCCCTCTGAATACCAAGCTCAGGGGGAGCCACAGGGAGCCCCCTCCCTCCCTGGCAGAGATGGTGAGTGCCTGCTGGTGTCCCAGGCCTCGGGCATGACAGGTGCCATTGCCGGCCTGCGGGGGAGTCTGGAGACAAAGGTGCAGAGCTCCAGTGGCTGGGAGTCGGGCCTGCTGGCACCCCCGAGAGGTACCCCGCCTGCTGAGGGAGCCCAGTGCGCTCCATGGCCCTGGACGAGGGGAGGGCTGGAAGAGCCCGCTGGCATTTCTCCAAGGAGTGGAGCCCTGCGTCTCCTAGCTTTGCATTTTTTGAGTCAGACTGCTGCGCTCCTCTGCGCCGTGGCTTTCCAGCACATCTCATAATCAAGACATCCGTAAGCCCCCTTCCACTTCTCCGTGAGGTTTCTAGAGCCCTTCTTTTCCGGCGAGCTGTGACAGGGGCCACCCCAGGCTGGCGAGCCTTATGCTGTGTCTGATTATTTACAACCCCGGCTCCCCCGTTCTGCTCGCAGAGCGCTTCACAAGGCCCAGAGAGATGTTGCAGGTGCCCGCTGGGCTGACTCCGGGAAGGCCCTGTGCAAAGTAGTTTTCCCTGTATTATTTCATTCTGTCCCCCTCCACAACCCCTGGGGGGTATGGGCTTTTACTGTCCTCATTTCAGAGATGGGAAACGGCGCCCCACAGAGGTAGAGTATCCTGATGGCGCACTGCGTCACAGAGCCCGTGTGTAACCCTGTGCGCTTTGGTAGTGGAAACTCCAGCCCAAGAGGTGGTTCCCCAGTGATGAATTTAGTTGCCTGCAGTAGAGGTTGCTTCTTCATAGGGCAGGCTTATCTTTCTTTGCTGCGGTAGAAACCCCATGACCCCAGTGGGACTACAGCATCCGGAAAGATTTTACAGGAGGGAAGGACTCTATTTTTCTGAGTGCTTTGGCCATGTTTGTGATATGTATCTTCTAAGGCATATCCAGGGGCCAAGAAGGGCTGGAGGGTGAACTGGCTCAGTGTTCTGAGATTTTGCAATGCACAGATAACTGCTCAGGTGAGGAATTCTATAGTGGGATATGTTGCTAACCACATCGAGACTTAATGCTCCTCGAAAACAAGAACGGATACACAAAAGAAAACCCAGCCCTTAGGCATGACCTCCGGGACCTGTCAGCAGTTTCCCAGACTAGAGTGGACAGGTTTTGTTTTTGCCTGAGAACCATGATACACGCTGGAGAGATCCTAACCGACAGCCTCTGAGACGCTTCCTACCAGACCTGAGTATTCTGGCAGTGTGCGTTTGTATGCACGCATGTAGGCTAGAAATGCCAACCCACTGTGAGCTCAGATAATCACAAAATGCCAGTCAACTACAAGGAGGGTTTATTAATTTTTTTTTTCAGTATGATACCTGTGGATTTTATACGTGCACTCATTTGGGCACAGGGTTGTACCTGTCTCCACGCTGGCAACACCCCTTCATATGCAGAGAAAAGTGATTTTAAAAATTAAGTTGAGGGGCGCCTGGGTGGCGCAGTCGGTTAAGCGTCCGACTTCAGCCAGGTCACGATCTCGCGGTCCGTGAGTTCGAGCCCCGCGTCGGGCTCTGGGCTGATGGCTCGGAGCCTGGAGCCTGTTTCCGATTCTGTGTCTCCCTCTCTCTCTGCCCCTCCCCCGTTCACGCTCTGTCTCTCTCTGTCCCAAAAAAATAAATAAACGTTGAAAAAAAAAAATTAAGTTGAAGTGAATAAACTGCTTTTTTGAGCTCAAAACTAGCTACTTCAATAAGACATGTGGCACATAAAGTAATTTCACTATTGTCTCTAACATGATGACAATTTTTAATTAGCTTATAAACTTGTAGTTTGTACTTAAGTTCATTGTTTTTGATTTTTTATTTTTTTAAGTGCTGGTTTATTTTTGAGAGAAAGAGAGAGAGAGAGCAGGGGAGGGGCAGAGAGAGACAGAGAGGAGAGGGAGAATCCCAAGCAGGCTCCACACTGTCAGCCAAGAGCCCGACATGGGGTTCAAACCCCTGAACCCTGATTTCATGACCTGAGCGTAAGCCAAGAGTTGGAAGCTCAACCGACTGAGCCCCCCAGGCGCCCAGCTAAATTCGTTGTTTTTCAAATAGGAGATTAGTTCTTTCTCTGTGTTTAGGAGCCTCAGACATGCAAAAAGATCCTGCAGACCACTCCATCACTGGAACCAGCACAGCCACAGTGGATGAATTTCACACTGTGTATAAGAGAGTGGGAACGGAAGTGGCAAACGTACATCCTCAGACAGGGTGGCCACAAAGAGTGGCTCTGACTAACCACGCTGTGTGTGCCCTGCTGTAAAGCAAATTCTCTCCTACGACGAGCTGGGTGACGGGGGCACCAGAAGTTAGGGCACAGATCTGAGGCCTCACCTACGGCAGCTGGCAGGCCCCCCTGGGATTCGGGGCACCCCGTTCCACTTCCCGGCCTTTGCGATGGCCGACACTGCCTCCCCGCAAGCTGCCAGCCACGCAGGGGGCACACTTACGCCCCAACGTGTTAAGCTTCAGAAAACAGCCCATAGTAATTAATGTTCCCCTCCAAAACAGATGGGCTCTACCCCCAATTCGATGATTATTCCGTTGTTCAAAATGTCTTCGACTCCTGTTTGGAATCGCCGTCCAGATTTGTAGGGGCAACGCCGTAGAGACTTTCATTTGAGTTGAACTCGATTTCATCTGTGCAGGGTAGTTTTGTAGACGACACTGTGCGGTGGGGAGCCGGTGGGGGAGAGGATATCGCAGGTGAGTGTGGTGGATGGAGAGCTGGGGGCAGAGGACAGAGGTGAGGACCCCTAGGGGCAGGGGGGCTGTCTCCCCGGGAAGGTTGATCTGGCACTTGGGGGCCAGAAGCAGTTTTGTCTGGCAGAGACACGGCATTTTTTCATAGGCCAGCCCCCTCGATCACACACAGCTGCTGGCACTAACTTTGCCTCCCACACTGCTGACCCGGATCTGGTTCTCTGAACATACCAGGCCACTTTGCAACTCCGGCTCTTTGCACAGGCTGTTCCCGGCAAAGGAGCTGCCCTCTGTCTCCTCGTCTGCTAGGCGCACCTGCCGTTTGGCTTTCAACACTGAACTCAGGAGCCTCTCTCCAAGAAGAAGCCTCCCCCACCTCTGGCCGTCTAATGACCAGGGCCGGAGAGGGGGGGTCATCACTGAGATGACCAGGTCCTCTGCACCTGTGACCTTGGCTGACCTTCACAGGTCTCCTGTGACACCGTATTAGCTCCCCATGCTACAGACCTGGAAACTAGCCACAGCTGCTGGGGGCGCCGAGCTGAGAGAGAGACAAACCCAGTCCGCCCGGAGCCAAGCCTGGCTGCGCACCTATCCTGCACAGGTCATACTCTGCTGTCGTTTATGAGTTTGGAAGGCAGCCACCGCTGTTCTGGGAACTCCTGAGCCTGGTACCTGTAGTGGATAGTGGCTCAGCTCACGGTCGGCTGCGTTAAGTTGGGAGAGAGAGTGGCATGGCTCATTTGGAGCTGGCTGGGGGTGGCTGAAGCAGCAAGCCCTTCCCGTGGCCGTTGACAGCCTCAGAGGATTGGAGGGGTCTTCTTGGCCCACAAGTGTCTCTCCTGGCCAGGAGTTCTGGATGAAAGTAAAGCCCCGGGCCATCGTAGCTGACGCCCTCCGCACTCCCCACTCACCGTCCAGTGGACTCTGTCCAACTCCTCCCTTCTATCAGCCCAGGACTCCCCTCCTCCCACCAGACAGTTGCCGTCACCTGCTCTTTATGTGTTCTGTACTTCATACAAAAGCACTTTTGATCAAGTTACAAATGTGACAACACTCTAAAAGCGTTCTGGAATTTAATCAAATAACTTTGGAAATCATACTTAAAGAGGAATTTGAGGGCTTTATAAGGAAATCAAAAAAAGTTTTTATTTTCTGATCAGGTTTACTGAAGAAATGTGAAACTCTGTAAATTCCAGAGAGAGTAGGAGAAAAACTACAAGTCAGATGAATGCCCCACGGTATTTCCATCCTTCATAACCTTTCTGCTCCTGGTCGGCTAGACCACTTAACCCTTTCATCCCCACCTCTCCTCCACGAGGCACCTGAAAGGTCCCGGGGGAGCCTGAGTCAGCTTTCTTACCAGGGGTGATATGGAAGCAATTCTAAGCAGACAGTGAGTGACTCAGAGGGTCCAGGTGCTTTCAACACTCAGTTCTTGACCCCAAGCCTTGGAATTAGAAGGATGGCATTTTGCCAACACTGTGTTAACGTTAAATACGTTAAAGGTGACTGCAGCATGGAGTGTGCTTGAAACAGTGGTGCGGGTGTTTGTTAACGCAGCTTCATTATAGGTGTCTGTTTTCCAAAGACAAAAAGGCTGCCCCAGCAACAGGAGGGCATCCCCAGGCTCCGGGGTCAGATTCACGACCGGCACAGGACTCCGTTGCTTGAATCCTAGCGTTTGGCAAGTGTGACACATCCACCGCCCAGCATGATACACGGAGATGGAAAGGCCACAAAGGCAGAAGGGGCTCCCAGGAGACTCCCAGGGTCAAGTCACATGGCGTGGCCTGGGTCTTCCAAGCTCTTGCCCTGGTACTTCCCGAAACGGTCCCGAAAATCCACTTACTTCTTTTAGGAACTGGGAATATTTCTTTTCTTTTCTTTTAATTTTTTTAATGTTTATTTTTGAGAGAGTGAGAGAGGCAGAGTGTGAGCAGGGGAGGGGCAGAGAGAGAGGGAGATACCGGATCTGAAGCAGGCTCCAGGCTCTGAGCTGTCAGCACAGAGCCCAATGCAGGGCTCAAACTCACAGGCCATGAGATCATGACCTGGGGCGAAGTCAGACGCTTAACAACTGAGCCACTAAGCATCTCAGAATGTTTCTTTTTTTTTTTTAATTTTTAAAAATGTTTTATTTACTTTTGAGAGTGAGAGAGAGAGAGAGAGAGAGAGCAAGCAGGGGAGGGGCACAGAGAGAGGAAGACACAGAATCCGAAGCAGGCTCCAGGCTCTGAGCTGTCAGCACAGAGCTCGACGTGGAGCTCGAACTCACTAACCGTGAGATCATGACCTGAGCCAAAGTTGGACATTTAGCCGACTTGAGCCACCCAGACACCCCGGAATATTTCTTTTTAATAACCATTTTGGTAATGCATGCTTTGAACAATTAAACTAGAGTATTTATGAAGGTCCCCAATCCTTTTTCTCACACTTTGGGGCCAGGCATATGTTTTCAAATTCACACTTTTGGGGGCATTGAAAGGATAATATGGGGCATATACCTTATATTTTGGGTATGAAGCAGAACCAGTAATCAAACAAATTAATAATTCTGCAGCACAATCTATGCAAATTCTCACCAAGTCAAAGACCTGAAGACTAACAGCCTCACAAACTATTTTCAGTTGGGTTTTGATTCCACATGAGGCTCAGAGAGTCATGAAAAGGTCGTCTTTTCAGGGTTTTTTGCATTTTGCAATTGTTCACACACCCAGGCATTGGAAGTACATTGACTTTGAGCCACTTACAGTACAAAGCCGAGAGCGTGGACGACCACAGCCTCTGAAGGGCCTGGAATTAGGTACCCGGCCACCGTTCAAGGGCATCTCGTGATGTCTTGCACTTGAATGAATGAATGGTTTCCACACACTTTTCTCACAGCCTGCCCGAAAACCGACCAAGGGGGGCAGACCGGTGAGATGCAGGGAGGGGAGACGAGGCTCAGGGCGGTGGGGCAGCCGCCAGGGATGCCGTGGCACAGCCGGGCGTGGCTGAGCTGCACCGTGCTGAGCTCCAGCTTGTCACTCTGGGCACCTGGTCGTGCAGGAGACAGAGTGAAGAAGATGACGTGGTGGTCCTGCCCTTGTCTCATCACCTGATGAGGACTGGGGGGCCCCCCTTGCTTAAGGTGCAGCAGCAGGTGAGGCCTGCGTGTGCCCACGTGGAGGGAGGATGCATCTGGAGGGGGTGGGGGAGAGCAGGTGGAGTTAGAACATAGGCTCAGCTCCTAATAAAGTGTCTAGGGCTGTAGGTTTCCTGAAAGACAAAACAAAGAAGGGAACCGAGAAACGGTCCCTTGTTTTCTTCTGTTCCGCACCAGCTCTGTCCTCCCCCTTCTACCTCGTCCCAGCGGGACCACCGGCCAGGGCCCACGGGACCGTCTTCTGAGGGACGTTTGTAAGGTGGTGGTGGGGTCACCGGGTCCCCTCGTGTGGAACCCATCCTAAGAGCTGCTCGAGTTTAGGAGAAACGCCCATCTGAGGGCTCCTGGACCTTCCTCACCACCGCCGGGAGCCAGACACACCCGACACTTCTAGAATGTATCCCAAGCAGCTCCTGTGTCCCCGGTGCCTGTCCTCTCCAGTTGTGCCGACACCATCATCCACGAGGCCCCTTCTGACTCCCGCTTCCTGTGGTGGGTTCTCCTCCGCACCCCTGTAATCCTTCCAGAGCTGCTGGCCCTGCAGGCCACCCTCCTTGGTGTCAGAAACAGCAGGCTGAGGGAACACGCCTGCGGGAGAGGTCCTTCCTGGGGCCGGCCCTGGGTACCAGGTGAGGCTTGCTGGGGACCCACCTTCTGGGCTCTGACTGCCGTTCTCTGATGGCAGAGGAGGTCAGAGTTCCCCGGGGCAGCCCAGATGTGCAGCCAGCGTCTGGCACAGTTCAGGGAAGCGAGAGCCAGCAGGCGAGAGGCTTTTCCCAGTGTCACGGGGCTGGATGGGGGAGGCCTGCTTCTGACGTCCGCTGTCCTGACCCTCGAGGCCTGGGCCTGGTTGAATCGCGTGACAAATGCGAGCGGCTCCTTTAACTCCCTCGCTTCCTTAACTCAGGGACCCAAATAGCCCGCGTGGTCCACACCTGACAGGTTTCTCTCAACAGCTGACTAGGAGCGCCCTGAGCGCAGGGCCGGACCTTGTTGCTCCCCCTGCCCGCCCCGTGACCGGCCGTCCCCTTCCTTCCAGTGCCAGGAGTACCGGGGCGGGGTGCTGGTGGGGGACCTCTGCGAGGACCTGTGCGTGGCGGGGACACTGAGCTACCAGCGCTGTCTGTACTACGAGAGAGGCAAGAAGGTGCTGCAGGCCGACTGGCGCGGCCGGCCCGTCGTCCTCAAGTCCAAGGAGGAGGCCTTCTCCAGCTTCCAGCCGCTCAGCCTGCCGGACGACGCGGCCGAGGACGGCGGCCAGGACTTCCCGGAGGAGGCCGAGCTGCTGCTGGTGGTGGCCGGTGAGGTCAGGAACGCCCTGGGCCTGGAGCTGCCCAACGGCAGCCTGGGGCCGCTGTGGCCCCGGAGGCACGGCCGTCGCTGGCTGGGCCAGCTGGCCACCCTGTGGTCCCTGGTCCAGCAGGAGGAGTTCGTCCTGTTCAGCCTGCTGCAGGACCTGAGCCGGCACGCCCCGCCCGTGCTGGGCTCCTGCGGCCACTTCTACGCGGTGGAGTACCTGGCCGCGGGCAGCCCCCGCCACAGGGCCCTCTTCCCCCTGGACGGGGCCGCAGGCGCCCCCCGGGGCGGCCGGGCCCAGGCCAAGGCCATCAGCGACATGGCGCTCAGCTTCCTGGACATGGTGAGCCATTTCGACGATGACTTCTCCCACCGCCTCCACCTCTGCGACATCAAGCCCGAAAACTTCGCCATCAGGAGTGACTTCACGGTGAGTGGCTCGGGGAGGGTGTGTGTGTCATGTGGAGGACCGACAGTCTAGGGGAGGTTTTGGAAGTCATGGGGGACCCCTGGAAGCTTCTGGAACCTTCTAGCCCGGACAACCCAGACCTGCCACGCCACCTCCTTTTGGGGTGTTAATGAGAGAATTTTAACAACGCGTGCGCCTTGCACCTCCGTCCTCGGGCAACGGGAACTAGAAGGGAAGGCGCCTGGTAGGGGGCCGAGGGCCCGGCAGGGGAAGGTGCGTCCTTCCGAATGGCTGTTCTGCTTCTCCAAAGCAGCTTCGCCACATTGTAGACTAATTTGAAAGCGAGCCCTCGCTGAGTCAGAAAACAGTCTTCGGGAGAGCAGGAGCCACCGAGGATGACAAGGAAAGGTGGCTTTTGGGAGCTTTGGTACAACAGCCAGTGGGGGCTGCTGCTTTCTGCCTGCCCATGCTCTGAGATGACGGGAGACGTTTTCTGGTCCTTTCTTCCTGGAGAGGTCCTAGCTAGTCTCCCTTCCATGGGCAGGGCTTCTAGAGGGACAAGTGGAGTTTTGGCAGCTCCTGTGAGGGAAAATCCTGCCGGGGGGGGGGGGGGGGGGGGGGGAGCATCTGGCTCTGTGCTGCTCTGTCGCAGCAGGTGAAGTCCGTTTCCCGCTCTGGGCAATGCAGGCGTTCATGGAATTAAAGGTGCTGGAGAAGCAGTGGCAGGAGGGACTCGGTGTTTCACGAGAAGATAATCCCCTCCCGCTTCCCCCCAACTAGGCTACACCCGCGTGTCGGGTTGATGCGTCCTTGCCCCGTGCCCGGGCAAGCGCTGGGACCACTTCCGAAGACGTAGGTGTGGTATGGGATGGGTGCTGGGGAGGGGCCGTGTCCCGGGCCCCCTCCTCCACAAGCTGTGGTCAGTTAGCTTGTCCGCTGCCAGTGCTGGTGAGCGAACGGCCAGGCCGACTTCGCGGGAGCTACACCAGAGAGCGGGCCGCTGAGCGTGCCGGCTCATGGCGGAACGGTGCTCTGCATCCTGGTGAAAAACAGAAAGGGAGGCAAAGAGGGTACTCTTACTGCCGGCCAAGGGCTTCCGTGGCAGGTGACATGGGAGTGCCTTCCTACGACAGCCTGAAACCTACGAAACTAATGCAGTCCCTCTGACTGCCCCAGAGGGACTGGTGAGCTGGGAGTGGCTCAAAGTGTGGAAGGGAAGGAGCTGAGAGGTTCCAGAAGGCTCTGGGAGGTTCCTGGAGGGTCCGTCTGCAATACGCTGGGCTCCATGAGACCTCTAGACGTGGTTGTGAGGGGGAGGGACAGCCCAGGACTCTGCCAGGGTATTTTTGGAGTTGAACTCCCAGCCAAGGCTTCCCCAGTTCGTGAGCAGAAGGTTTATGCACTAGACATGTAGGACCGCCGTTCTCTTTCCCAGAGAAATCCTGGGAACGCAGACACCCCAAGGCCCTGGGAAAGGAGGTGTGGGGTGTCCACTCACAACCCCTGGCTTCGGCAGTTATCTCATCTGACACCCGTTTATTCATCCAGTGAGTGTCATGGAGCGCCAGTGAGTGGAACTCAACAGGGGCGGTAACAGTTGAGGGAACTGAGAGGCTGTCTGGGCTAGGTTCCCAGAAAAGGCCGTAGGAAGGAGGCAGGGCTGACGGGTCTTCCCCGGGGGAAAGGGAAGCGTGGCATGTTGCTGGCTTGTGCGCTGCGTCAGAGTTGTGCCTTCCAGTATCTTGTGCACAGTAGGCAGGAGATATTTGTTCGATGAGATGACGGCGACACTTCAAGCCCAGGCGGTGCCCTGTGGACTGTGCTGGGGTGCACAGACCCTCACCTCTGCCTGAGTTCTTGCTCAGGGGAGAAGGAGAAAGGACAGAGGGTCCCGTTTGGCTAAATTATTCACCTCCTTACATGCTGAGTCTCAAGAAGTTAACTTTCCCTGTGATTTTACAACTTTAATGAAACCCAGCCGTATCAGCATCACCAGGGAACTTGCTAGAAATGCGAATTCTCTGCCTCCCCCGGCCAAGACCCGCTGGGTCTGACCCTCTGGGGGTGGGACGTGGCGACCAGCACATACAGTCACTCACTTTCTCTGGGTCCCCCACTTACAGATCCTGAGAATTTATCCACTGGTTGCCAAGGAACAACTGGGAAACACCATGGCTCTGTGCCCCCCGAACCACTGCCCGCAAATGCTCCTTTCGAACAGATCCGTTTCCTGCCCCAGAGCCACACTTTTCAGTGGAGAATGAAATAATCCCCAACCCTTTCTAGTCTGATGCCCGGAGAAAGTTTGATGAGACGCAAGTGAAGTAATTCCGTGAAGGAAGAATGTTATGATTCTCTCGATTCTGGTTGAGAAAACTTACTCAGGTTGCTCTGTTGGCTTGGTTGCTGTTCTTATTCTAGGTGCGTACAGTTATGCTCACAATAGCTATAATCCATTCTCCGTTATGCACTGAAAAGCAAACCTGGCTCTCCCTGGGAGGTGAGAAGGGAGCAATGAGTGATGGGAGAGAGAAGTTGTAAAGAGGTGAGATCGCAGGTAGGGGCCCAGGGGAAGCCAGGGAGAATGTCGGAAAGTATAGAAAGAAGAGAGACCATGTAGTCCCTATAATAAATTACCGAGACGACAGATGTGTGAGCACAGCCTACTATATATTTTCGTGTATTAACTAGGGTACACAGTGAAATAATGAGACAGGAAAAATTGAGTAAAATTATAATTTCTGCTTGCTGTGCCTGAATTAGTAATTAGGCCAAGCTCTTGAGTAGGGAAAAGTTCTGTATTTTTTATTTTCGTTGTTCTCCATATATTTTGAAAGGGCGTATTTTTCCTCTTCTGTTTTACCGAATCATCCCCGAGAAAGTTTACTGTCTCTTGGCATCACTCCAGAGTGAAAAACAAAAACCCAAACTGGGGAGCGTAGCTCCCAACACCACCAAGTTGAGGAGGACACGAACCCCAACCAATGAGTCTTTTGAGATGCTACCAAAGGCCGGAGGAAGGGCTGGTATTTGGAGGGTGACCTGTGAAGGCTTGTGAAATGTCGCAGACTCCATCAAACTCATCAAATCTTCCAAAAGCTCTTTGTTAACACCTTGAAGCTATGAACTGCATGATTTGGGCAGACTCCAGGTTTTATCAAGTTTGAGATCAGCCTTTTTTTTTTTTTTTTTTTTAATACATTCAGGTTGTGGAAGAAAATCCGCATCATGTAGATGTTATTTCTTTTTCTGGTTTTGAAGCCTATTTGGTTTGAAGCCAGGAAGATAAATCTGAAATTCCAGGAGCTCCACCCTGTTCTCGGGCTGACAGTGGCATTTTGTATTTGATGCTGTTGGATGAGGGTCCACGGGCATCAAACCTAATTCAGGAGCTTTCACACTGCCTTTCCCAGACACGTTTCGATCCAGCCAGTCAGGAGGAAACCAGTTGGCATAGGTCACACATACGCCGTAAATAGACAACCTACGTCCTGCCCTCCACATTCACCGGCACCCCCACGGACCTGCCCCTGGAAGGCAGTTTTCTTCTGTAGCTTCTATTCATGGGGATAAGTTATCTGTATTCATGGCTTTCATAATTCTGACCCTGGAAGGTCAGAGACCAAAGTGATAAAGCAATGGAGGGGGAATTCATTTGTTTTTAAGAAACTGCAGACATTCGACTTCTACAGCTGAAAACATGTTTCAAGTTGAAAAGCGATACTTGTAGTCAGAGTTCCGGATGCTAGGCTCTCACGAGTGATGGCAGATGTCCTTTTGGCAGGGAAAGCCTTGCGATGTGGTCCATGCCGGGCCCTTGTGTGAGTGAAGCCTGCGGCCCCCCGCCTGGCCAGGGCCCCTCTTTCTGGCACGCAGCGTTCTGCGATCCCGTAATCTGTAGGAGCCTGCACCTCAGAGAGCAGAGGCACACTGGCTCCCTCTGCGTTGGCCCCCCGGGGGGTCCTCGTGGTGGCCATGAGCTGGGCCCCGAGAGCGCTTGTGATGGCCATGTGCTGGGCCCCCGGCATCCTCGTGACAGCCCCAGGAGTCCTTTTGATGGCCATGCTCTGGGCCCCCAGAGTCCTTGTGACAACCACGTGCTGGGCCCCAAGAGTCCTCGTGATGGCCATGTGCTGGGCCCCGGGAGTCTTTGTGATGGCCATGTGCTGCTTGGTTACAGGTGGTGGCCATCGACGTGGACATGGCCTTTTTTGAACCCAAAATGAGGGAAATTCTCGAGCAGAATTGCACGGGGGATGAGGACTGCAATTTCTTTGACTGTTTTTCAAAGTGTGATCTGCGAGCCCACAAGTGTGGAGCAGAAAGAGTCAACAGCAACCTGCAGGTAAGCAGCCGCCACCGCGCGGGCTGGGGGACATTGTCCTCTCTGGCTGTTGCTGCCCACCGTGCCGTGGCACCCCATTCATATGGCCCAGGTCCCCTCTTCCACGCCACCTGGGCTTGATGTGCTCAGTGGGGACAGGGACGTCAGGAGTTGGGGTGGTCATTTGTCTTGTCTGTCCCATGGGGTTGTTGGCCGAATGACCCTTGGGGGTCTGATGGACAGGGCGGCCAGCGGAGCCCATTATTCAGCTCCCCATTTCCTCCTAACGTATTACTTTTCTAACTTGCGGTTTTGCTCAAAAAATTATCCTGCCCTGATGCACAGAGCAAAAGAATAGAATTTTTTAAAATTTCAGAGATAGACGTGATGACACATGGGCGTTTCATAAGTGGCAAAGGTCGCTCTCAGGCCGGCGGAAGGAAGGCTGGGTTATGCAGCGAATGGTGTCGGTTAGCTGGGTGATGGGGCGTAACAAAGGACCACATTAACTCCTACTTCACTCCTCACCAGACTCCATTCCAGAGGCTCATGTACTTACTCATACAAAATACAATCCTAAGTGTGCCAGAGTAAAACTGGGAGAATTTAAAATATTATGTGAGAGTGAAGAAGGTCTTTCTGAGCTCAGAAGGCCACAGGAAGGAGAAATTTAACTATCTTTAAAAAAATCCATATAGCAAACACGACATAAAACAAAATCCCCCAAGGGGCGCCTGGGTGGCGCAGTCGGTTGGGCGTCCGACTTCAGCCAGGTCACGATCTCGCGGTCGTGGGTTCGAGCCCCGCGTCAGGCTCTGGGCGGATGGCTCGGAGCCTGGAGCCTGTTTCCGATTCTGTGTCTCCCTCTCTCTCTGCCCCTCCCCCGTTCATGCTCTGTCTCTCTCTGTCCCAAAAATAAATAAACGTTGAAAAAAAAAAATTAAAAAAAAAATCCCCCAAAATACAGGCAGATATTTGCAATTGCTCGTACAGACCAGGAGCGTAGAGTACAGAGGGTTCCTTATCCGCCGGCTGCTGCCGAGCCCCAGGGAGCGCCCCCCGGGAACGCGCTTGCCCAGCAGGGTCTTTGCCATGGCCCCTCCACATGCCGGGGGTAGCATCCGGGGATCGGTCAGTGGGAGGGGGGCCGTACGCAAAACCCAGTCCCGGCCTCAGTAAGGAAGAGTTTTCCTCCTCCCTCAGGTCCTTGGACCGTGGTTCTCAGGAATGCGTCTCAGTAAATCCCTGCCTGCTGGTCTCCATCTCCCAGTCTGCTCTCTAGGAAGCCAACCAAAGCAAGGGGATGATGTCCTCAGTGTATAAAGAGTGTCTGCAAATTAACATGGAAAAGGTCAACAATGTGATGGAAGTGTGAGCAAAGGATATCAACTAGGCCATTCACTGGAAAGGAAGTACAATGTCACATCATCACCCTGACTGCGAGGAACAACGCAAATTACACCATTTTCACCCACCAGTTGGCAAAAATGAAAGACAACACACGTGTTGGGGGGGGGGAGCCCAGCGTTCTCATCACACATTGCCATGAGAGTGTATCTCAGCACAACTTTCCACAGGGTCAGTTTGGCAATATCTACCAAAACAAAAAACACACATATCTTTTGGCCCAGAAGTTCCATTTCTAGAAATTCAGTCATAGGTTCAAAATGAAAATGACATACAGGCAAGATATTTACTGCAACTTTGTTCTAATAGCAAAAATTAGTAAACAATCTCATTTCCATCAGTAGGAAACAAGTTAAATAATTTATGATCTATCCACACGTTTGAGGTGCAGTCATTAAAGTAAACAGGAAATCCTTAGAAGGCTCTGCCTGGTATTCTGTTAGATGGGAGTGGAAGGTGTGGAAGAGGGTGTGTAATATACTGCCATTCGTGCAAAGTAGAACAGAAAGGAAAAACATGTATCAGCTTGTGTGTGCATACTCTCTCTAGAAGGAAGGGGTCCCCTCGCGGAGCTGGGAACAGAACATTGGACAATCAGCAGGAGGCACAGCGGTCTGTCCTTGGGAACAGTTAACATTTTTGCACACGTATTCTCAATTTAAAACAGAAATAAGGTGATTTGCTTTTAAAAATATTCCTGGGGCACCTGGGTGGCTCAGTTGGTTAAGCGTCCAATTTAGACTCAGGTCATGATCTCACGGTTTATGGGTTCGAGCCCCATGTGGGGCTCTGTGCTGACAGCACAGAGCCTACTTGGGGTTCTCTCTCTTCCTCTCTCTCTGCCCCTTCCCTGCATGCTCTCTCAAGATAAATAAAATAAAGAAACAATAAAAAAAATTTAAAAAAAAGGTTCCTCAGAAGTTAAAGTTCCGTGTCTTCTATGAAGAGTAGAACTACAACACTGAGGCCTCTGCTCAATGAGTCCCAAACGGTGTGATACAGAAAGATAAAGCACATTAATCCCGCCCCTCTCGGTGGAGCCCTCCCAGCAGGAGGAGCCTGTGAAAGCTCTAGAAACAGGAGCATGTGTAAGTGGAAGGTTGGAGGAGATCTCCGGCATCAGTGAATTTCATACCCTAGGGAATGGTGGCTTGATTTTCATTTCTGCTTCTGAAGTAAAATGATTCAAAGTCCCTTCTAGTACAGCCTTCTCTCCGTGAGTGTATCATGTTTGCTGACTACTTCTCCCCACATGTCACTGGACCCTCGGGACAACCCTGGGTCGTCGCTTGTTACGGTGACCAAATATGCACGAGAAAGCCCAACCTCAGCGATGCGGCCACACAGCCGAGGGGATGCTCCTTACGCAGCACTGGCCGCCCAGGACTTTCTGCTCCCCTTTGTCTTCGGAAGTGTACTCGATGACAGGGACCCTTTCCCGTCTGCGGTCTGCGTTGAGGCTGGGAGGGGGACCTTGTTCCCGGTGCCGAGTGGTTCAAGTTCCAGAAGGGAAGGCACTTTTACTATCAGACCATCTGTGTGGGAAGACGCCTCCCTCGGCAGGTGGGGTTGTATGGGAGGAGCCACGGTCTGTTTGGGCCTGTGGAGCCTCCGTGGTTGGTTCGCAGCCTGCAGTAACCACTCTGTCCCCTGCCCCTCAGGTCGTCTGTGACAAGATATTCCGCCACTGGTTCTCCTCCAGTCTCAGGACCTCGGCCGTCTCCGTCCCGCTTCAGCTACAATTGCGGGACGCGGTCCAGGAATGCGCAGACCCTCGGGGCGCCTCCGGCAGCGCCCCGGGAGCCGCCCCTGATGTGTTCTGGAAGCTTCAGCGCCTCCTTCAAGCCACACAGAGGGAACTGCAGGAGGCAGAGAAGTAGCCACTCCCGTGGCCTTGGGTCCCTTCCCTCTATGTTGGTTCAAGGACGGGACGTTTCCTCTATGCAAACAAGGGCACGCGCAGGTGGCGCTGTGGTCCTTCTGAAATGTGAAATCGCTGATGCCCTTCCCACCGCACGCCAGCTGCCCTCACGTGCGTCCTTCTTTCCCATCCTGGCTTGATTCGCTCCTGATGGCGGCCACCGCGCTGGCCTCTGACCTGCCACCCTTTAAAAGTGACACGAGGGAGGCAGGTACAGCGGTTTCCTCTTGGAGGCCTCTTCGTCGGGAAACAGCACAAATCCCACTCTGAGGATCGTGCTTGTGCTCACCTGAGAGCCAGGGCTTCCAGCTGTCCTGCCTGCACACGTGCCCGCATTTAAAGAAGTGCACGTGCGTGCACACGAGCCCGTGTGCGTGTTCACACGGGAGTGCTCACGTGAGTGTGTGCACGCGTGCGTGAGGACGTGCCTGCCTGAGCGAGCGTGAGCAGGGAGCGCGGGAGGCTCCGGGGCAGGGGAAGGGGTGTCCCCTCTGGGACAAGAGGGCTGCCTTTGTTTTGGAATAAAATACAATCAAAACAGAAGTTGCATCTGTAACGCAAACGTAATCCGTCAGGAGAGGACGTGTCAGGACAGCGTATGGCCGTTTTCCTCCTGAGGGGCCCGTCGATTTTATGGAGCCTGTGTTAGGGAGCACGTTACCGCCCGCCGCGGTGCATCTGCCTTTGGCGCGGGAGATGCAGGCTGGTTGGACTGCGTCGTGTTGTCCCCGAGAACGTGGGGGACAGCGAGTGCCGCGGTCGGCGTCGGGCAGGGTCAGAGGCGGGCGCCTTGCTCTCAAGGGCACGAACGCCGAGGCCCGGGCACCATGCCGCACGCCGGCAGGTGCCTCCAGCAGAGTCCCGGGGAGGCTTTCTTGAGAGAAGAGGGCCGGAGGGAACCACACGTGGTCCCTCGCTGGGCAGGCAGGTGAACCCGTGGGGGGCCAGCCAGGCAGCCACCGGGAGGGAACTCCTTTCTACTGGACACCTGGGACACAGCAGGTGCTCCGCAAGTGACCAGCTGGTGTCCCTAAAGGTAAATCAAGAAAGACGCCGAGAGAGGAAAAGGAAATTCTATTGATGGCTTACAAATCAAAGAGGACGGATTAATCTGAAATTTAAAAAAAATGACAAACTGCACAAATTTCAAGCCCTTTCTCATTTCCTTGCCCGGTGCCTTCCTGGTCCAGACCAAGGCGAATTTCCTGCTTGTGTTCATTTGGATGCGTTTCTCCAGGCTGCACCCCGGGCTCATGGAACGGTGTGAGGGGCGGGGCAGAGACAGGGCAGGCCCCACCGGGTCTGGGTTCCCACCTCTGAGCACTTCTGTCTGGTCGCCATGGTCACCTGCAGTCCTGCCCCCAATCCGTCACCCCTGGCTCAGTTTCCTCAAGGGCCCTCTAATCGTGTGTGTGAACGACTCACTCTGCCTTTGTAGCCTTTGGCAGGAAGGAAAACCCCACGGCTGTCACTTCCGTGGCAGAAATACATTAAAGTTTGATGCGCGGGCCTTGAGCTAGCAGTTTCTAAAGGAAAAGAGAGTTTGTCTACGGAACAGAGGCTCCTGTCTCTCCAGGGCTGCGCTCTGTGCAGTGGCTTCCTGCAGCCGTGAGGGTCTCACTGAAGCGTGCCAACCGGAGGCTCAGGGTCTGTCTCTGAGCGAGGCTTCCGTGAAACTGGGTGTGAGATGAAGGGCGAGGGAGGGGCAGGGGGCTTGCAGGCCGTGCTCCTAAAACAGTTGGCTGCGCACTGTGACAGCAGAGGGGTCTCCCGCGGGTTGACCCTGGCATCACAGCCCTTCATTAGCGTTGGCTCCGAGCCCCCTGGCTGGGCAGCAGAGCTGGCTCGGGAAAGGGAAAATGTTCGTTTTCATTTAGACCAAAATGGAAGCACATGTTTTTGTTTATCATGGAGACTGCGCGACGTGTAATTTCCCAACGCAGTGGGGTTGTCATTGCTGAAAAGGAGCAGTTTCACCCCTTTCCCCTGTGTCTGACCACTGGGTGTCTCTCCCTTCCCCTCCCTCTCTCTCTCTCTCACACTTTGTTTTGGTTTTTGAAAAAAACCTCAAACCCTTGCAAAATAACACTTTTATAGAATACAATGAACAAACACTGTATTTGATATATATTTTTATATTGTAGAGAGAGCCCATGCGAGCGGGGGAGGGGCAGAGGGAGCCGGGGGGGTCGGGGGGGGGGGGAATCTCGAGCAGGCTCCAGGCTCGTGCAGAGCCCGACGCAGGGCTTCATCTCGCAACCCTGAGCCGAAATCACGACTTGAGCCGAAATCTAGAGTTGGCTGTTCAACCGACGGAGCCACCCAGGGCCCCCCAGGATTTGATGTTTTTAATGTGCCAAGTGAGACCGTGTTGCTTATCTGGTTGAGCAACCACCCCCCTTGCAGAGAAGGGGGCTCCGTATGTGGTTTCTGTGTTTGAATAACACTCGGGGGAGAGAAGACTCTGTGAGCTGTGTCCTCACGGAGGAGGACGTTCACCGGGTGTAGGCTGCTCCTTTTTAAGTTTTACCCGAATTAATGCACGTGGTGCACTGCATTCACCTCCGGTCCCTCGTCAGAGGTCAGTCTTCACCATGTATCTTGATAGATTAGGGTTATAATGACACAACTCCAGCTTTGAAGCCATGGTGGGTTACAGCTGCCGTGTCCTAACTGCCCGGAAATTGTGGGGGCTACTGACCTCGTGATACCCAGTGGTCAAGAAGGGGTTGGACGGGCCGCTGACGTCACCCGGCTGCAGACACTTCCAAAGCCACCCGTTCTCATCTCCTCACAGGGAGGGAAGAGCTGGCAGTTCCCAGAGGTGCCACCTCCGGGAAGTCCCCTGGGCCTGCCTCAGCACCACGCTCACCGCCGGCCTGTCCAGCCAGCCAGGAGTGCTCGGGATGGATGCCCAGCATGTTCAATTATTGGGAGGGCCGCTAGTTATTTTAGACTTTGATCTGGAGGCTGTTCTTTGAGCAGCTGGGGGGTGGGGCAGTTTGGCTGTGAGTTTCCGAAACCAAGGACCGCGTGAAAGAGCCATCACCTACACTGCACGGGCATCTGGCTGCGGGAAAACCAGAGCCACCCCGACGGGAACTCACGTAGCTTGCCCCACCTTCCAGATTCTGAAACCCATAGAAGTCTTCGAGCCCGGTGTTGGCCTTCCCTCCCCAACTCGTGTCTTCGCTGGAGCCTACTGCGTTCCACTGCTGAGCGCTGGCACTGGCCTGCAGGAGAGGTTCCCGCGGGCAGATGTGACCCCTGGAGCAGGTGCATTTGCTGGGCGCTCTTTGAGTGTCTTGGAGGGGCAACCGACCCGAGCAGGAGCTCTGGGAGCTTTGCTTCTTGGCTTTAGGAGACGGCTTCAGCTTCCGAACATGCCCAGCCTTCCCTCCGCTTCTTCTCCAGGGGCTCCGGGCCTGCCTGTACCTCTCTCCTCTTGTGCTCCCCTGCTCTAGCGGTCCCAGGCGGGAACTCTGAGATCAGACCATCCGAAGTTTCATCTCAGTAACACCATTTATCAGTGTCGTGACATTGGGCAAGGTATTTCACCTCTCTGTCTCACTTTCCCCATCTGTGAGTGCATTGATGGTTACAATCCCTTGGCTCAGGGCTGCTGTGAGAACCGTGCTGTGCAGGGGTGTGTGGGCACTCCTGGAGAGCACTGTGGTTATTTTCGGCCATTAGAAGCCGCGAGGCTGGCTTGGGGAGGGATATGACGTCTCGTGCTTCTCCTGCCCACCTCCTCCCTGTCTCCTTCTCTGCAGAGGCTCCCCCCCTCTTTGTCTAGCGATCTAACACCGAACTGGGAGGACAGTCCCCAGCCGGGCGCCTCCTGAGACCCGGTCACGGGTTAATCCTAACCTGGGTCTTCTCGGCCTCACCTCATGTCTAGGGGAACCCGAGCTCGGGGCGGCCCAGGTGTGGGTCCTTTCATGAAGTCCACAGCAGGTGCTGATACACACACATCACATGCCTGCAGGCTGGTAGAGAGCTTCTGTGCGCCACTGTTTGGGCCTCCCTGCCCCCCGCCCCTGCCGCCCCCCACACCAGAATTGTTGTGCTGAAACCCAATTCCGCTGGGGTGCCGCTGTTAGGAGGCAGGGCCTTTGGGAGACAGTTAGGTCATGAGGGTGTGGCTCAAGTCAGGGGATTAGTGGCCTTCTAAGAAGAGGCTGCTGAGGGCTAGGGCTCCCTGCCCTGCCCTCCCCTCCTTTCCACCCTCCCCTCTCCTCCTCTCCCCCCCTCCTTCCTGTCCCTCTCTGTCCCTCCCTCTCTCTGCCCTGTGAGGACACAGTGAGAAGGCAGCCATCTCCAAACCGCGAAGAAAGCTCCCTCCAGGAACGGAACTGGCCGGCCCCTTGATTTGGGACGTTTAGCCCCAGAACCGTGACAAGTAGATGTGTGTCGTCCGTGGCATGTCGCTACAGCAGCCCAGGCTGACCAGGGGGGCTCCCCAGCTCTCGGTGCTGCCCCAGCGCCGTGTTCCCAGCAGAGCCCCTGCCCCCACTTGGCCCTGGGCACCCAAGGTGCCTCCTGAGTGGGGGTGGGGGGCAGCAACTTGCTGTCAACGTCATCGGCCACGAGGGAAAGAGCCAGCTGCCCCCGGAAATCGGAGCATGGTGGGGGAGGGGGGCTGCCTGCAGGGACGGCCCCCCCTCACCCCCTGGCCCCTCTCAAAGGCAGCACACGACACCCAGCTAGCACCCGGGCTCTCACCCTGCAGAGGCCGCCATGTACACGCTCCTTCTCCTGGAGGGTCCATCCGCCCTCAGTGCCCTGAGCTTGTTCGTGCCTCCTCGAGGCGTTTCGGCCACGGGCTGTGTGCAGGGGCCAGGGTGGCGCTCAGCCGTGGTGGACAACCCCACAGGGGCACTTGGGCTCGAAGCCCCACCCTGGACGCTCTGTCATTTTTCTGTAAGAGAAACAGGAGAGGGGCAAGATGCCTCCGTAGCCATCAAGCAAGACCCAGGACAAATGAGCCGTTCGGATTCTTAACATCAATTAACATGAAAAGTGTGCAATTATAGCATTTGCAGAGTCCTTTTATGGAAAGAAACACACTTACTGGAAATTACAGCCGCCTTGGCAAGTGCAAGGTGTTTGGTCAGCATAGTTCTGGCTAACAATGAAACAAAACACATTTAGAGAACTTTCTGGAGAAAAGCGCCATGAGAAACACCCCAGTCTTCACCTTTATGTTGTTCCAAAGCAGCTTGTCACGTGGGTAGGTTTTCACAAGAGGGGTGAGCTTTCTCATGGCCGCCTTCAATTCTTTTCTCTCGCTAGTCCCAGCTTCCTTTCATTGCTGTGTGTCAGGACGTGCAGATTGACCTGGCGTGTGAACTGAAGTCAGCTGTGCTCATGGAAGGTTTCTGAACCCCGAGCCAGAGGCTGGGGCTAAGGGTCTGCTTCTCATGTTAACTAGCTGGATCACTGCAGGAGGCAATTACCTCCATTTTCTCTCTTGCAAAATGGGAGATAAATGTCCTCCAGGGAATTGAATGAGCTAAATAGGCTTAAAGAGTCTGGAACTTGGCAAGGGTTAATGCACAGATCAGAAGTTTCCCTCTGAAATGCATGATTTTAATCCACACTAACCATTGAAAGCCGCCCCATCTTGGCGCATGCAGCTGAAGGGGGCTCCTGAAGACGAAGGACAGAGCGGAAAGGGGGGCTGGCGGGGCCCGTTGGGGGGCAGGCTAGGACAGAGCCGAGGGAGGCATTCCACGACGGGTGTAGAAGGCATCTCTGCTCATTGTTATTTTTAACTCCCCAGCGTCAGTTTTCTCTCCCCTTCTCAATGTACAACTGAAGGAACCCTGTCTTTTGTGTCAAGAACAAGGTCCGGCCACAGAACACACAGCGAACAGTTTAGCTGGTCACGATTCAAGATTATGGTTATGATTATACTTCTACACGAGCAGCTTAGGCTGTCACTATGGCTGGGAATTGGCCCTAGGCCCAGTCCTAAGGGAAGGATGCTCCAGTCCGCACAAAGCAGGGTCCTGATAACAACTGCTGGAGCTGGAGGGTCAGACGTTGTAACCTTGGCATCATGGTCTCTGTCTGAACGAGATTGCTTGGTACGGAAAACCGTGGAACGGTGTTTTCCCCGAATTGTCTGAGACGCCTGCC